TTCTAAGTAGCCCTAGTGGACCTTTTGATCAGCTTCCTGAGAAAGGAATGTGCAAATTAAGTGCCCAATCAAGAAGCACTTAAGGGACAATGGATCTTGGAGGCTCCAATCCACATAAGAAGTCTACTTGAGGACATTCAAGGTAGCAGGTGAGCCATGGCTGCTGCCTGTAAAAACTGAGTCATGCGTGGACATGTGACTCCAAAACTCCATCTTGGAGCTGGACTTTGCATAGGAGAAAGGAGGGGGGTCTCCATCCACAAGAGAGAGTCTATTTAAGCCCATGGGAGACCCCTTCATTTTGTCTTCAGCTTGCTCAAGAGAGAGCCTCTCCGCTCCCCAGGATACCTGAAAGAAACTGGAACAAAGGACGGTAACTACAGGGGGTGTGAGTGATTGCTGGACCCAGACTAGCAGGAGACTAGTCTGTAAAAGGAAGCTTACTGGGTGAGGTTTTTATCTGTATTCACTTTCTTAGATATAGACTTGCGTGTTCTATTTTATTTTGGTTGGTGATTCACTTTCTGTCTGTTACTACTTGGAACCACTTAAATCCTACTGTCTGTATTTAATAAAATCACTTTACTTATTAATTAACCTAGAGTATGTATTAATATGTGGGGGGCAAACAGCTGTGCATATCTCTCTCAGTGTTAGAGGGTGAACAATTTATGAGTTTACCCTGTATAAAGCTTATACAGGGTAAAACAGATTTATGTAGGTTTAGATCCTAGGGGGAGTTGGGCATCTGAGTGTTTAAAGACAGGAACACTTCTTAAGGTGCTTTCAGTTAAGTCTGCAGCTTTGGGGCACATGGCTCAGACCCTGGGTCTGTGTTGGAGCAGATGGGTGTGTCTGGCTCAGCAAGACAGCGTGCTGGAGTCCCAGGCTGGCAGGGAAAGCAGAGGCAGAAGTGGTCTTGGCCCCTCCGTTAGCAGCCCCTGTTGTACTTAAAGTACTGCACAGGATCTTTTCAGGGGGAATAAGACAAAACGCCACATTTATTAGTAATACATGTATTCATTAACCCTGTATCATATGCATATAATATATTACACTTACACTCTCACACACACAAACACGCTCTGTCTTGTTGTTACCAATTAGTTGCTCCCCTTAACTTCACTGGCCAGGTGAGTTAGATGGGGGAGGGGGTGGAGCCAGGCTTCTGCCGATCCAGATCGATGCTCCCATCTTGACAAGATGAGACCCGGGGTCCTCTGCAAGACACCTCACTTTTATAGCAGCTTTCCTCTTATGCAAATCTATACTGGATTCAAACTCTGTGTCTGTGTCCATTGGTCCTTTGTGCTGCTTTCTTTTGAGTGTTGTCCCAATGCTGCAAAGAGGGTGTTTCCAAAAGAAGGTGCTTGCTTCTAACCCCCGAGGCCGTCAGTATGTCTGCTTGTTTTTAATGAGCCCACTTGACACGTTTTATTGTCCTTGGGTCTGGCTCCCAGCCGCTCTCCAACAGTTGAGGCTGTCTGGAGGTGCTGCCTTCCATGCCTTGCTCATCCACACCTCATTCATTCAACAGGGCAATTGATTAAGAGTGGCGGGGGGGGAGAGCTCTTGTTCTACTGCTAGCAAACAGAATTTTTTCTTCTATCTTATTCTTAGAGGCTATAATATTATACCAAGGGCAATTCAAAGTTTCTAAATGAGGCTTTGATACAAAGTCCCATGAAAACAGAGGTCACAGTGGGTAGACCCACCACAAGGTTATATGAAGAGGCACAATGTAAAGACATATGAAAATTATCAGAGATTTATCTACACCCCAAGGTTTCTGTGTCCACCCCGTCACAAGTGTCTCCAGGGAGGAAGCCCTGGGGATATGGCCCCATACCAGGGCTGGGCTACGCAAAGCCACTAGCCCCGGGAGGGCTAGAGAGAGACCCCACCAGAGGGGTTTGTGCTGGCTAATGTGCAGACCGTGTGATTCAGCCAGAGGGCTGAGTCACTGAAAACCTGCCTGAGAACCACCGAAAGGGGTCTCCAGACGTAAAGAACGCAGACCCGGCCAATCAGAAACGGGCACTTGCGAGAGGTGGGTGTCAGCCCCGTCACACCAACCCACCACTGCTACCAAGGACAGTGGCCGTGCACCCGCCTCCACAACCTGAGCAGAGTTCCCAGGCACTTCAACCACAGCAGTGTTCTAGGTGAAATATAAACCAGGTCTATTCACTACAGAGCGATGGATTTCCAGGGATTGGGAGCAGTGAGCGCAGAGATCAGCGTTGGTTACCTGAGAAATAAAAATAAAATCGCAACTGAGTTCTCTAAACTAGGCAGGATTTGAATCAAGCCGTGTCTCGCGCTGACAGACAATACAAGCAGGTTCCAGCTCCTCCATACACTGGCTGGGACTCCCTGTCAGGCTACGGCCTCCTCCCCCGTTCAGTCTTTGTCCTCCAGTCGTGTTTCCAGGGGTTGGAGTCCAATGCAGCGGGTACGATACTTCAGCAGGGCCAAACTTCAGAGGGCTGGGTGTTGAGTGCAGTGGGTAGTGGGAGTCTGCAGTGCTGGACTGTGAGGGGGGAGGAGTGGAATGCTGCGGGTATAGACTGGAGCCAGGAATTGATAAGAGTGTGTTGGCGGTGTGTGTGCATGTATGTGTGTGTCTGAGGGGTGCATGGGAAAGAGATTTGCGACAGCAGCTGCAGGAGAGGGCGGGCACAGAGCTGCTCGGTTTGAAGAGTTAGTATCGCCTGGAGCGTGTCTGCTTGGCGCTCCATAATCTTTAAGAGCCTCTCCATGGCTTCATTCTGGTGTGCTGCATTCTCCTTTTGGTCCCTCTTCTCGCTGTCCCGCCACTCCTTCAATTCCTGTTTCTCGGCAGCGGAGTGCAGCATAACCTCACGCAGAAAGTCCTCCTTAGTTCTTCTTGGACGCTTCCTAATTCTTCGCAACCGTTCTGCCGCCGATAACAAAGAGGGAGGCTGTGCTCCCAAGGTCATTTCTGTGAAGTTTAAATGCAGCATTTTACAGAAGCAGTATTGTTTGCAACACAGACAACACTGTTTCAGTGCTTTAAAACACAGCCAGTACTCACACACCTGTCACTCACTGGCTGACCCCACGCAAGCGCACATACGCCACAAGACCCCAAAATGGTGAGTAGCCGCAGGGGCAGGGTAAATCACTGTTCCCGGACCCTGCTGGACACTGAGCATGTGGCACTTGGGGAGAGCCAGCACTGTAGGGTGGGCCTGATAATCATTCCTGTCCCCACACTTTCCAGAGGAGGTGATCATTATGGAAGATATCTCGCTGCTGAGGTGAGCTGGGAATCAAAGGAGGGTCTTCTCCCAGCCTGTGGCTTCCTCCCTGACCCCTATTCGGCTCACCTGAGTGCAACAATGGTTCCCCCCACCCCATGATGGCACAGTGGAGCGGGAAAGTTATCTTTAATGGGGCAAGAAATAAAGCAGCTCTGCTGAATAACCTGTGGCAGCGGATTGCCCAGTATCTCCATGAGAACTTCCTGGAGATCTCTGAGGGAGACTCCCGTGAAGTGAGGGAGTCTATCACCAGCCTGTTCTGCCACTCAGACTAGGCATGCGGTGGGAGACAAGCCTGCTTTCTGCAACCCTTCTGCCCCCAATGACTCGCTTCAGCGATTCCCAAAATCAGACCCACTGACTAAGGGTTCCCTCTCTTCTTTGCGTCTTGACAATCTCCAACAGCTGTGACTTGGTCCACTCTCAACTGGCACATGAGCCACTGAAGTATCCAGAGGGGTCTTTGCAGTGGAGGGGGGGTTGCTACCGAGTATCGCATCCAGCTCTTTGTGGAACCGGCAGCTCGTGGGCGCAGCACCAGAGCGGCGGTTTGCCTCCCGCGCCTTGTGGTAGACGTTCCGCAGCTCCTTCACTTTGACCCTGCACTGCAGTGTGTCCCGGCCATGGCCCCTTTCTCTCATGCATTTGAAATCTGTCCCTAGGTATCATCATTCCTATGGCTAGAGCACAGCTGGGACTGCACAGCCTCCTCTCCCCAAATGCCAATGAGGGCCAGCAGCTCGGCATTGCTCCAAGCGGGGGGTCACCTGGTGCGTGGAGCAGGCAGGGCCACCTGGAAAGATGCGCTGAGACCACTGCACATGTCACCGAGCAAACAGGAAGGGGACTTTCAAATTTCCAAAGCAATTTATGGGGTGTGGATAATGGTTGGTCACCTGAGGGCAGGGCAGTAGAGTTCAAACCGATGACCAGAGAGGTGAGAACAGGCATTGTGGGACACCTCCCGGAGGCCAATCACAGCGCTGTAATCACTACGGTGTCCACACTGGCACCGCAGCGCTGTAGCCCTGGTGCAGGAAGCTCTACCCCTCTCATCGGGGTGGTTTTTTAAGCATTACAACTGCACCGTTTCTGCGCACTGAGTGGCTTGGCAGTGTGTGCACCGCGGGAGTTACAGCGCAGGAAGCTGCTTTACTGCACAAACACTTACCAGTGTAGACAGGGCCTGAGAAGTCTCCATTGTCTACGGTTCCTGGGATAGTCCCTGGGCGTGTGAATTCCTTCAATGGGCCATCAGCGCGTCTGGCTGCTCCATTGTTGTACATGTAAAGGCTGGTCGTGGGGGGGTTCCCAACCTCACACCATATTTCAGTAACACACACGTAGCAAAACTTCATAGCACCCCATGCAATGACAGCACATCCAATCCAACAGGGTATTCATGTTCAACAGATCCAGCCTTTCACACTGATCCCTCGCCAGGCAGACTTTGTACACAACACGTCATCATTATAGGACAGTGGTGAATATGGGGATTCCAGGGGGCTGCTTTGCAGCACAGCGTGCCACAGCCACTCTAACCATCAGACTTTATTGCCACCTAAATAGCAAATACATTTCCTTTAAAGGCCATGAAGACACTATCGCGGTTCCCTTTCCTCCCCTGAGCCATCAGCCACTCACAGCGCCTGGGGCTATTGCCACAGATGTAGATGAACACGATTACTAGTTACCTGCCCCAACCTCCCTGCTCTCCCGTTAGTATCAGTGGTGTGATCAGACCGGAGTCCCAGCTGCTAACCCAGGCACACAGCCCAGGTGAGAGCCACATTTCCTTGTTTTGGGGCAAAAAGCCAGATGGGGGAGAATGATTCTTCGAATCTCTAAATCACTGAAAGGAGAATAAACGGGGAGAGATGCTTATGGTTGAGCTGAGATCGGGGCCTGGCGAGCAGAGTGCTGCATGGACACAGCGAGAGACAGTCCCTGCCCCATAGAAATGACAATTAAAATAGACAATAGGTGGGAGGAAAAACTGAAGCACAGAACAGGGAAGTGAGTCGCTCATCGTCGTACAGCAGGGCCATGGCACATCTAGGAGGAGAACCCACAGTCCTGGGTCCCAGGCTCTGTTCTAGCCACTAGACCACAGCAGCCTGTGCAGTCGCTATAAATACACAGGGTGCTTCCCAAACACAGCGTGAGAGCCAGTCCCTGCTGGACGAGTTCGTGGTGTAAGATACGGGGACTGAACATGGTGGGGCAACATCATCCTGCACTGTTACATGGCTGCAGTGCCCCACCCCAGAGCAGGCTGCATTTCACTGCTGCTTGAAATGCTCAACAGCTGGGCAGATTGTGAAGGGACCTGAGGTCCTAGGGGGGAGAACACATCACCTAGAGCTACTGTTCAGAGAGGGAGCCTGGTGTTTGGGTTAGAGGTGGGGGCTGTAAGCTGGGACTCCTGGGTTCTAGTCCCAGCTCTGGGGGCTAGTGGGTTAAAGGAGGGGAATCTGGGAGCCAGGACTCCTGGTTTCTATTCCCAGCTCTGCAAAGGGAAATATATAACCAGACACACCTGGCCCCTCAGACCTTTGCTGGCTAGTTGTACCATTACCCAGAGCAAATGTTCTCAGAGCGGTCGGGTAACATCAGACACTGGCTCTGCCCAGGCTGTGGTCACAGAGACGGGACCCGATAAACAATCCAGCTAGCGGCAGAGGAAGCGGTGGGGGGGGCCGGGGGGGCGCCACCCCTCT